CCGGCTCCCTGGGCCCGGCCCTGGGGCCGCCGCGGTGCCGCGCGCGCCGCTCGCTCCTGGCCCCGGACGCAGCGCCGTCCTTGCCCGGGTCGTGCCGGTGCGCGCGGTGGCGCCGGGGCTCGCGCTCGCCCGCCTCCTCCGGGGAGCCGCGCCGGTGGTGGCGCCGGCCGCCCTCGGGGCCCGGGCCTCGGGCGCGCTCGCCCCGCGCCTCCGGCGGGCCCGCGGCCTCCTTGCTGTGGCTGCGGTGCGGCCGCGCCCGCTCCTCCCGGCCGCCGGGCTCCCCGCTCTCCGTCCTCGGGGCGTCCACTCTGTCCTGCTCGCCCGCGGGGGCCGGGGCCTTGTCCTTGTCGCGGTGCCGGTGGTGCCTCCGCGGGGGCTCCGCGCCCTCCGTGGCCTCTGCGCCCTCGGGCCGGGCTTTGCCCGGGGGACCCCGCGGGCCCTCCCGGCCCGGCTCCACCACCAGCGGCCGGTCCAGGTGCGTCTTCATGTCGGGCCGCAGGTGGCGCGTGGTGGCGTAGCGCAGCCGCTCCTCGGGGTCCATCTCGCTGTACAGCGCCTCGCAGCTGGCGCGCAGGTTCTGCAGCCGCAGCTGGCTGGCCCGCTGCTCCCACACCGAGCGCGCCTTGGCCGCGTTCTGCTGCCTGCTGCGGGGAGAGCGGCGGTGAGCTCGGCCCTGTGCGCCCAGCCCAGCGCTGTCTGGGGAAGCCACAGATGGACACGGCAATGGAGGGATGGCGGCGTGGGCGCAGGGAGAAGGGGGAGCAGGGGCTGCAGGAGCCCTCCAGACCCCTCAGGGCGGGAGATGCAGAAAAAGATCAGTGGGGGGAACAAAGTTCAGGGCCCGCGCCCCCCATGGCCCCCCTCAGGCCTGCAGAGGGGACTGCTCCAGCCTGTCAGGAGGACGCTGGGGGCGGGGCGCAAGGCCACTCCTGAACATGGGCAGGGGCCAGAGGAGGCCGAGGAGTGCAGGGCGTGCAAATGCCAGGCGCCAGCAAGAGCCGGCAGAAAGGCTTCCCCGGCCAGTGGGCAGAAGGCCACGCTGGGGCGAGAAGGGCCTCACACAAATGGGCAGGACGGATGGGAGGCAGGAGTCCGGCAGCTCCGCGCCAGCCTCCCTTGGGAGGTGGCCTCGGCTCCGGCATGAGCAGAGCTGCCGCTGAGGGGCCAGACATGGCCACCGCTCCTCAGCAGGAGAGCCACCAGCCAGAAGGAGAAGGGCTGTCTGCAGGGGAACCCGGAGGCAGGCACTGACGCAGAGCCACCAGGAGCAGGGGGAGCGTCCAGGCATCCCGGAACAGAGCCCTGGCTACTCCCGGAGCTGGTCAGGCCCAGCCGGGCAGCTGCCACTCAGCTTAACAAACGGGAGCCCAGAAGTCAGGTCTGGGGCTGGAGACACCCCTCCTGTGGTCACCAGTGCTCCCCCCTCTCTTGGCTCCACCAGGGGCAGAACAAGGCCCCAGAGTCTCCCAGCACGAGGGGCGGCTGATGGTCCAGACTCAGCCCTCACTGCACAGGCTGCCCAAGGCCTTGATCCTCCCCCAGCCTCCTGGGCCAGGCGCCTCCCCTGTTCACACGCCACACACAGGCTCCACGGCCCAGGTGCAGGGGAAACTCTTTGCGCTCCGCTCTTTGCTCAGTGAGACCACCAAAGTAGGCGACTCCGGCCCCACCTCTGCCAGGCAGAAACCTCATCTGGGGCCAGAGGCTCATCCTTCAGCCTCTGGAGGCTTCCAGATGGCCGTGGCAGTGGCACCATTAATGATGATGGCCACGGCATCTCTCTTACAACGGCCGCACGATGCTCTGGGCTCAGTTCTCACTTCATCCAGCCCTGACAACCCCCTCAAGAATCAGGTGCTACTCTTGTCCCTGTTTCACAGATGAAGATGCTAAGTCTGGAGAGAGAATGTGACTTGCTCAGGGTCCCACAGTGAGTCGCTGGTGCAGCCAGGACCAGATGCAAGCAAGGGCCAAAGGGGAAAAAGTATCGAAAAAAGACATGAGTCCTTGGCCAGATGCCAACTGCACCAACGGCACCAGGTACACCTGCAGCCTGTGGAGCCTTGGGGTCCTGGTGACCTGCAGGCAGAGACAGCCAGGTGTAGGAAAAGCCCAGTCCCTGCAGTTGGCCCGTCCAAGGCAGACGACAAGAAATCCTGTCCCTTTGCAGAAGTCCAGGCTGCAGGGTGGTGTGCAGTTTCCAGGGGCAGCACCTTGCAACTATAAAAGCGAAAGAGCTTGGGCAGGGGCCGAGCAGGACTGCCTGTGGGGGCTGTCTGCTGACCCACAGCCTTGGCCGCCACCTAGGCCCTGACCTGTATCCCCCATGCGTCGAAGCTGTGCCACCCACTCCCGAGGAAGCCCTGCAACAGGCCCACAGAGGACCTACCCGTCCCCAGCTGGGACCAAAGCAAAGGGCTTGAATCTCAACAGTGCTGAACGTGTAAAACGGAAGACAGCCATGAGAGGTGGTCACCAGGCAGAGGACCCCAGCGAGGGCTGATGGCTGGTCACTGCCTCAAGCCTCTCAATCAGTCCAGCAGCCCAGATGGGCCTGGACTCTGAGCCATCTGGTCAGCAGTGAGTTGGCCTGCTCAGATGAAGCCAGTCTTGGCCATCAGCATCACAGATCTCTGTCAGAAGGACAGGCAGTGAAGTCAAGAGGACACGCAGCAGCTGGTAGTTCAAGGTCTGTGTGTGCAGGTGGGTGGGCTCCAGACCTCGTAGCTCTGCCCTCCACCTTGCCTCAGGTGTGGCTCTTTCTCTCCCAGGAACAACCTGAAGTACAGAGAGGCCACGCTGTCTGCTGGACTGAAGGGTGCTATCGGGCTGGCAGGTTCCACTCATGACCACCCAGGTGGAACAAGATACTGAGTAGTCCGTGCAAGGGCCACTGCCCACCCACTGTGACCCCACGGTGGCTCTGCCCAGCCTGCTCCTTCTGGGTCTGTCTGCCACTCTGGGCCCTACTGTTACTACAGACTGTCTGCACCTGCTTGAGACTCAGCCGGTACCACTGGGTTCCTCTCTGGATGTGTCTCTGATCTGTGCACTTGGCATGTCCTTCTTGTTGGTGTCGGAGTTAGCCTGAACTTGCCCTGGTTGACATCTCTGTCCTGCTCTTGTCTGGCATGTAAACCCCACTGACGTGGGGTGCAGTGTGGCTGGTGACTCTAATCCAGGCAAAGTCCTTATTTGAAAGGGCTCTTTCAGGAGTCACACAGAGGACCGGCTCCCACAATGGCCCAGGCTTGTAGGCCCGACCCAGCTGCTTCAGGGAGGACAGCTCAGCCACACTCGCCCCAGATGCTATGGATGACTTCAGGACTCTCAAAGGAGCTTGAGGGTCTCTGCAGTCCTGCTTTGAGGTCTCTGGGCTGACGCAGCCCAGAACCCCTGACAAGGTGAAGCAGCAACGCCGTGACACCACCGGTACCAACATCTGCATCTTCTTCCACCATGTGGACTGGTTATTTAGGCTCTGCCATGCTTTCTTACCCCACGAGACATCAGAGCTCTCCCCCCTGAGGCGTCAGTGCTCATGGGGAGACTGAGCCCAGCGCTGTGCTGGCTGCCCATGAGGAAGCTCGGGGCAGGGGCAGCAGGAGCCTCACCACCATCAGGGCGTAGAGAAGGCATCTGGTCACCTCAGGACCCCTTACCTGCAGGCCTCACCCTCGAGAGGAATCCCCAGCCACCCATGAGCACTTCCCAGAAGGAGCTGCCCAAAGAGAGGTAGCCTGTGGGACTGGTGTTCCCCCAGGAGGGCCACCCTGGGGTTTCTAGGGCTCCACCTCGGGCTCTGGCTAACCTACCAGAAGCTTCACTATTGGACAGCAGCTCTGCTCTTGCTAGAACAAGGACTTCCTGAGGATCACAGACACGTTCCCTCCCAAGTAAGGAAGGGCTGGGGGCACCCATGAATGTCCCCAGAGAGCCCCTAAAGAACACTCTCTGCTATCCCTGCCCACAGGGCCCTGGCCTCACGGGAACCACAAGGACACCTAAGCCCACGGCACCTAGTCCACCCAGGAGAAGGACGTATGCTTGAGATGCCAGAGTGACCACACACAGACACTCAGCTGACAAAAAGACAGAGTCCAGGAGGGAAGAGGGACTGAGCTCAGAAAGGTCTGACCCTGTGAGCAGGACTTGGGGGTGTGAGGGAGCGAGCCCACCATTCCCCGCCCAGGCCACAGCAGGCTTGCCTGGAGCTGCCCCATGAAGCAAATGACTGGAGGTGGGAAAGCAGAGTTAGGAGTGGGGGGAAGGTGTTTGCATGTAGTTATCATGAAGCCATGGATGGAATATCGTAGCAGAGCGACTCACGGTGAGTTTACGCTGGAGACAGATGAGCTGCGAGATACAGTACCTCGAGTTTGCTTTACAAAACTGCACATGCGAAAAACAAAACAAAACAGAAGTGAGAAAACCAGAGAGAAAGTCCTGAGAGACACTAGCAACCCCCGTGGGCCGCATCCGTGCCAGCGCAGGCTGCCATGTGCACCTGGGCAGGAGGCAGGGATGCGTCCATCAGAAGGGCACTGGCCGAGACCTCAGGGTAAAAGAGAAGTTGAGAACTAATCCCAAGCGGGCAGAAAAGTGAGACGAAAGTGAACACAGCAAACCCACAATAGCTGGAAGACAAGAAGCAGTTATCCCAGGGGCCCATCCACGGTTCTCAGTGCCCACGGCCCCTGGAAGGGCAGCAGGTTGGAAAGAGCCAGCACTGCTTCTCCTGCAGTTCCAGACAGCCCTCCCCACGCTGCTGCAGGGCAGGCTGGCCACGCAATCTCCTGTCTTCCAGACAGAGCACAGCAGGCAAACACCAGAGGCAAGGGTGCCCATCCCTGAGGCGCTGCTAGACCGTCTTGCCTTCCCGGGGAGCACCTGGTCCCCACTCAGTTCTGCCCGCCCCCGCCTCTCAGCTCCCAGGCTTTAATCCAGGTGCTTCCAGTTTGTGAAGGGCCTCCAGGTGCAAATTGGGTTACATCGCCAACCACCTTCCCTTCCAGTGTCACTCCAGCCATTTCCAAGTGACTTTCTAAGAAGCTTTCCCAAAACCGACAGAAAGAAACCAAGATCTCTTTACAGCCATTTCGCTTCACACTAACTTCCCTGGGGAAGGGCCAGGCAGGTTTCCAGCTGCTCCTGCTCAAGGTCAGACTCTCTGCACATTTGTAAGGAGCTCACCTGCCCACAGGCTCTGGGTGTAAATAGGCATGTACACGCGAGTACGAGTGTGTGAGTGTGAGCAATTGTGAGTGACTGTGTGGGACTGTGTGAAAATGTGAGCGTGTGAGATTGTGAGAGTATGAGTGTGTGAATGTATGTGAGACTGTGAGTTTGTGTGTGAATGTATGTGAGACCATGAGTTTGTGTGTGAATGTATGTGAGACCATGAGTTTGCGTGTGAATGTGTGACATTGTGAGTATATGAGTGTGTGTGAGTCAGTGTGAAGATATGAGTGTGTATGAAAATGTGTGAATCTGTGTGTGAAGACTGTGAGTTGGTATGGGGGTGTGAGAGTGTGAGAGCATGTGTGAGAGCATAAGTTGTGAGACTGTGAGTGTGTGAGTGTAGGGCTGTGTGACAGTGTGAGTCCATGTGTGAGTGTGAATCTGTGTGTGAGTGTGAGTCTCTTGGTGAGGAAGTAAGTTTGTGTGTAGAGTGAGTCTGTGTGTAAGACTGTGAGCCTATGTGTGAGGGTATCTGTGTGTGAGGGTATCTGTGTGTGAGGGTGTCTGAGTGTGTGTGAGCCTATGTGTAGGGTGTGAGGGTGTCTGTGTGTGAGAGTGTGAGGGTGTTAGTCTGTGTGTGAGGGTGTGAGTCTGTGTGTAAGACTGTGAGCCTGTGTGTGAGGGTGTGAGCCCATGTGTGAGGGTGTGAGCTTGTGTGTGAGGGTGTGAGCCCGTGTGTGAGGGTGTGAGCTTGTGTGTGAGGATGTGAGTCCGTGTGAGGGTGTGAGTCTGTGTGTGAGGGTGTAAGGGTGTCTGTGTGTGAGAGTGTGTGTCTGTGTGTGAGAGTATAAGGGTGTCTGTGTGTGAGGGTGTGTGTGAGGGTGAGTCTGTGTGTGAGAATGTGAGCTTGTGTGTGAGGGTGTGAGTCCGTGTGTGAGGATGTGAGTCCATGTGTGAGGGTGTAAGGGTGTCTGGGTGTGAGCCTGTGTGTGAGGGTGTGAGTCTGTGTGTGAGGGTGTGTGAGAATGTGAGCTTGTGTGTGAGGGTGTGAGTCCGTGTGTGAGGATGTGAGTCCATGTGTGAGGGTGTAAGGGTGTCTGGGTGTGAGCCTGTGTGTGAGGGTGTGAGTCTGTGTGTGAGGGTGTGAGTTTGTGCGTGAGGGCGTCAGTATGTGTCTGTCAGTGTTCAGATAGCCGAGTGAGGATGAACGGTGACACCACAGAGGGAATCAGGAAGTGACATGGAGCTTAGCGTCCCCTCCCTCCCAGGAGTCCGAAGCAGCTGTCACCTGAGGCCAAAGACACAGCCCCACCCGACCTCAGCGACCTCTGAGGCTGGACTCCGGCGTCACTGTGTCCAGATACAGAGCATCACTGAGAGCCTCTCAAACACAAGGGCACCAGGGGTCCTCTCGGCACCTAAGGCGCCGCTAAGAACACCCCGCAGCGCGCCCCTCCCACAGCCCACGTGGCACAGCTGTGGCGGCAGGCGCAGAGCGAGGGGCACTTCAGGGCGTTGCTGTCGCTGCAGCCCAGCAGCGCAGAGACGTAGAAACAAGCGCAAGGAGGAGCAGGCGCTGCCCGTCCCACCGTCCCACCAGAACGGGAAACGGGAGTGGGAGCAACCGACAGCAGGCGGCTCTCGGCCCTTGGAGGACTCCGCATAACACAGGCGAACAGCAGCTGCCACACCTGCACCCGCCGCCCGCCCACCCAGAGCTGCGCCCCGCCCAGGGCATGGTCCTCCTCGCTCCCCAGAAGGAGGATCCTGCAGGGTCCCCCGTGGTCAAATCAGCCCAACTGTCGTGCTGACAGCTGCTCTGAGACACACCACAGAAGACGAAGGCCCAAAGCTGCGTCCCAGGCAGAGCCCGGGGGACCCACAGCTGACCCGGGACGGGGAACACGGGGCTAACGCCTGGACACACCCCAGGCTGGCTGGGGCCGGCGGCCCCCTCCTGAGCGTGAGGGCTGTGACACAGGTGACACCCAGCTCTGGACCCACCGATGGGCCCCTTAGGAAAAAATCACTTTTCCCACTTAGGAATCAGCACAGTGCCTGGCCAGCAGCTTGTGTCACATGTACCCCGCGTGTGAGAGTGCCAGCCTGCAGCCTTGGTCCCACATAGCTGTGTCTCCAAACAGGGACGGGTGGCAGAGGAGGAAGAGTGTCCAGACTTACTTTTCCGGCAGCTTAACGAACTTTCCATGGCTGTGCCCAGAGCCCCGACATCCTCTTCTCCAAGGTCTCAGCCCAGAGGGGAGCGGACACCCTCCCGCAAACGCCCCAGGAGGAGGCAGCCCTGGCAGGTAGCAGGGGCCGAGGGACAAGCGCTCATCCGCCGTCCTCTCTGCAGCAGACCACCGCGACCCCAGGACCAAGTAACCACATCAGATCAACTAAACATCTAACTGACCAAATAAATGAATTGGCCAGACAATGAAACCTCAAAACAACTAGACAACTGAGCACTGAACCCCCCAGTGGCTGTCTGAGTGACGACTGCCGTGTGCCTGGCTCTGCTGCGGGCCCCTCCCATCCCCGTCTGAGTTGCAGGGGGCTGCAACCTCTTCCAGCTGCTTCTCCCCCAAAGGCAGGGCTTTCTGCTTGGCCAAGAGACGGGTCCTCTACAAATGCCATTTCCCTGGTGACCTCCAGGCAGGAATAGGGCCACTATGGATGTGCGCACACACACGTGCACTTACACACACAGCACACACACTCACACGTGCCCAGTGTGCACACTCACCCACCTGCCAATGTGTTTACTCAGCAGTGCAGGCACCCATGTTACCTCCCTGTCTGTGGTCACGATGCCACAGCCAGGGTCAGGGCCAGCTACAGAGCAGGGGCCCACTGACCAGTGTGGGACACGGGAGGTGCTGCAGGGCGGTGTGCAGCCAGATGGAGCCGACGGTTCCAGGGCTAGACCCAGCCCGGCCCGGAGAGCAAGCTGCCATGGAGCGTCTCTGCTCTCCTGTGGCCCACCCTGTGACCAGGACATGGGCCAGACTTTCCTGCCTCCCTTCCAGGGCCGGGCCTCCACACAGCCCACTGCGGGCTCTGGCCCTGGTCTGGGCACTTTGCCCAAACTCTGAAGCCCTGAATACCTCCAGACGTGCTTCTGCCACGTGCCTGAGGTTCGACCAAACTGCGGGACGATCAGTTTTCCCCACAGGAACTTCCCTGAGCTCTGTCCCAGTACCAAACCTTTGCAGAGACATTTCCGGAAACTGCACGAAATCTCAGGCTGAGATACCACCTAGAATCTCTTGGCTCATAAAATACATTTCTGGAAAACTGTGTATAAATCAATATATTGACTCCCAGCCCTGACTGATTCTCAGGTGTTTCCTGGGAGGGGGCCCTGGAGCATCCTGGGAGGAAACGCCGTGGCTGAGACCATCCCACCCCCACAGGGGGGCTGTGCCTGGCCACGCCCTGCCCTGCCCAGGTGGGAAGAGGCCCCGGCGGCTCCTCTGGGGAACCCTCTGCTCTGGGGCCGTTCCCTCCCACTGCAGCTCCCACTGCGTTCTCGTCACCTCTAGACGGGGAGCCCTGCTGAGCCCACTGCCGCCCCACAGTCCGCTCCCAAGAGCCTTACGCAGCGATGGAGATGTTCGCAGCAGACATAGGGCTGACTTCGGCCACTTCTTTGGCCTTTTGCAGAGCAAGCTTTTGATTGGCTGCTTCTTCCATCTCCTCTTCATCCTGTTTGAACAAAGAGACACGTCCAGGCGCCCTGCAGGGTGCTGCAGCCACTCTCAGGCCATCGGCTCCTCCTCCTGGAGCTGTGTGTCCCTCTTGCCCTCCGTACCGCGGGGCCGGGCAGCCAGCCGTGCTAACACGGCCCACCTGTGACCCTACACTGAGTCCCCTTCCGCACAGTCTCTCTCTGGCACCCCAAGGGCCTTCGAGGTAATAGCCCCCCGGGTTCTTGCCTCAGTCCTATCTCCCAGGGTGCGGACGAGCCCCCTGTCTGTGCTTGCACTCTAGCCTGACTCCTCCTCTAGCCCAGGGTCCCGCCCGCCGCCCAGATGTTTCTTCTTGCTTCTACCATGGCACCTCGAACCTGCCAAATGCAAATATGTCCCTCCTTTTGTCCCACCTGCCCTCCCAGGAGCACCTGTCACACTTGAATCTCTCCTGAAGAGCCATGAGCAGGGGCAAGGGGCAGAGCTCTGCCCCTGGGGCTGGGTCCCGGCCCAGCAATACCCGTAAGAGCCATCACCAGGATCGTGTCCTGTGGGACCACGTGCTACCTTTGAACTTTCCCACCTGGACTTACTGGTCACGTCTGTCTACCTGTCGCCAGCTGTGACTGTGGGAAGCTCTTCTCTGTCTCCCCGACACCAGGACAGCCACTTGCAGAGCCTGGCCCTGTGCTCCACCTGGCTTTTGCCACTGGGGCTGGGCATGTGAGCAGACACCCTGTCCTGCCTCTGCCCCCTGCCTGGGAAGGGGAGTGGACAGATAGACAGACCCTCTGGCCCTGACCCCACGTCACTGAACAAAACCAACGTGCTCTGCTCCTCACTTCTAGATTAATAGCTTAGAGCTGAGCCCGTAGGCCCCGGAGAGGAAGCTACGACCTCCATGTCATCCCTCTGGACTTCCGAGGCCACCTAGCCCAGGCCCACGTGGCTCCTCTGGAAGCTAGCATTCCCAACATTCCCCAAAATGTCCTTGAATCTGCTTTTTGGGGCACAATAATGGCAAAAATTAAATCCCCTGTTCGCTGCCTCTAAACTTCTCACCACAGAGAGACCTTCCAACTTCAGGGAGACCCACCACAGAACAGCCACGCCCAGGCCCTTCCCTAACGATCTGGGCTCCATCCTGGTTCACAGCCCTCTGGAGAAGCAACGTCACCAGTCACTCCAAAGACTGTTCTAAAGTGCCCTGAAAGACCTACAAACAATTCGACTTGAATTTATTCCTACTTCAAAAAATAAGCAACGCTATGTTAGTGGGCGTATGAAGGAAGGAAAAAGCCAAGTCCTGCCCTCCGGGGCTCGTGACCAGCCTAGAAAACACCCCCAGGCAGACACAGGCAGGCCCCAGTCCTCAAAGCAGGGAAACCCCTAAATTAGGGTGGTTATGTGTACAGGGACACAGGGCCCCAGGACATCACCCTCTCAGCGTGTCCTCACTCACAGCAGAGCTTGAGAAGACAGTGGGAGCCTCCGTGCTCCAGCATAGCCCTGTCCCGGGACAGCTCTGGACGGATGGGTGCCCTCAGCCCAGGCAGCCCCACCAGGGCTTGGGCCATTCTCCGACCATGCCTGCATGGCGCATCTAGGTCCCGGCCCAGGCTGACGACAGAAATGGGCAGAAGCCACGGGCCAGAGCCAGGGAGAAGTCTAGACCCACAGTGTCGCGGGAGCAGGCCTGAGCAGAAGCACGGGGAGGCGCAGGGGGTGGCAGACACAGGGCAGGTGGCTGTGCCCTCCTCCCAGGGCTGGGGGTGGAGCAGAGGCACCCGCACAACACATACGCAGAGGCACCGTGGCACACCAGCCCAAGGCACCTGCCTCTCTCAGCCCCAGAACAGGGAAGGTATTGAGAGACTCGGGAAGCACTGGGCTGGAGTGACAGAACCATGTCAGACACATATGTGCACAGAGGCAAGCACACGCAGACGGCTGTCCAGGACGGTGCACTAGCGGAAGAGCACACACATGTGGCATGCACACAGAAAGGTACACACGCAGGTACATGCCCAACACACAGAGTGTGCACACAGGACGTCTGCAATAAGTATATGCCAACCCAGATGGTCGCGCCCCCCATGCTGGGAGCCAGGGCTTGAGCTGAAGCGCAAGCTTGAGGCTAAGACACAGGGAGGCCCAGCCCCGGTGTCCAGGGCTGGGGGTAGGAGGGGCAGGGGCGACCAGGTGGGGGCTGGTCATCTGGAGGGAAACCACAGAGGGAAACGTGAGCAATCACGTTCCCCGCCAGGCTCGGGGATGAGGCGTGAATACTGAACGGCACCCACTGGGCGCTGCCTGAAGCAGCAGCTGCCCTGCTGTGGCACAGACGTGCCAAGACAGGCCACCAGCCAGGCCCAGCACTGAGGGCAGCACCAGGGGGGTCCCCTCTCTGCACTTTCGGGTCCTCAGAGCAGGGCACTCCCTAGGAGCCCCCTCATGCCTCCAGCCCGCCCCTCCTGCTCCCAACACCCCGCCCTGCCGGTTCAGGCCATGCCGGCTGGGCGGTGACTTCTCTGGGAGCCGCTCACGTGTCTGTCCGCTCCTGCTCGACGTCTCTGATGCTTCCTGAGCTCCGCCCCACACCCCCCAGGTCTGCCTGTGCGGGCCTCGAGGGGACACTCCTGGACAGCAGTCAGGACCTGCCCTCCCTCAGGACTCTGCGGCCTCATCCAGAGTCACACGGCCTGACCCCCAGCCCCGCCCTGCACACGGGTGCAGGTGGTGTCCCTGCCTACCTTGGTCAGCTCCTGGGCGTTGGCAAGGTTGTCCACGGCGATGGCCAGGAAGACATTGAGCAGAGTGTCTGGTTGGCTCCAGCTAAGGAAGGGAACCTTCTGCCCCTCACACCGTCCCACCGTCGCACCAGCCCACCCCTGTGAAAAACAGGGGCCCCCACCCTCCCAGATCCCCACCAGCTCCAGCCTCCTGTTCTTGGCTCCCCCGGCCCCCGGCCCCTGTCATGGCCAGACACAACCCAGCCCTGTAGCCAGGGCCCTGCTGGGCACCAGCCTCTCTGCCCGCTCCTCCTTCCCTCGGCCTCACGCCTCCCAACCTCCCCCAGCCCACGTGGACGCTTCCTCCATCTAGCTCTTTGGAGCTGACTTCAGGGCCGTGCAGCCTGAAGAGGGGGTACAGTCTGCGTCTGTCCCCCCCGTTTCTGGCCTCCCGACAAGCACCTGCCTGCACGGGCTCCAGGTGGGGCTCCCCCACCTGTGGGCCCTGTGAGCCTAGACCACCTGGGACAGATGTGAACACAAAAACCCACCTGTCACCAGCACAGCCCAGGCCCCAGGCCCGGCTCACAGACACCTGCCCAGTGTTGCCTTCTCCCTTCGTTCCCCTTCCCACGTGACGTCGAGGGTGCCTCTCCCTTGACATGCTCCCTTCTAGAGCAGCAGGGCAATGCCAGAGCCATGAGGACAGTGGGCAGCACACTCTTGAGTGGCCGGCACGGCACCCTCACCTCAGACGGACCCCCGGGAGCCAGTGTGAGGTGGGGCCACAGCCCCTCTAGAAAGGAGAATGCCGAAGCTACAAGGTTGGTCCCCGTGCAGACGCGGGCCTGGGCGAGCGGCCTCTTCCTCGAATCCCCTGGGACCAGCCTTTGTTCCGTCACTGAGCTGAGTCGCTGTGTTTCCCTTGCAAAAGGAACTCTTCTATTGCTTCAAGCTACTTCTTTTTCACGTTTAATAATTTGTTTTTGTTGAAAAAGAATGACACTTTCTGAAATTGTGGCTGCACTAAACAATCCATGCTGAGTGGTCCCCACCCTGGCAGGTCGTCTCAGCCGACCTCCGCCTGCAGCCGCTCTCCTGAGCACTGGGCTGCCTGGCTCTGAGTTCAGTGAGTCGCAGCAATGGGCAAGCAGCTGGCGCACCTGCCTTTCCTCCTCTGTGCAAAACAGAAAAGGGTTTTGCACCCTGAACAATGTGAAGTGGTTTTTTAAAGTTGCACGGGCTCTGTCCTTCAGGAGGGTGATGCAGAGGTGGGTTACCCTAGGGAGGAGGAGTTTGACTGTTGAGATTCCTGCTGAGCCCTGCTGGCCGCTCAGGGCCCTGTGCCCCCGGCCACCCCGTAACGGACTTTATCTGAAGCTGGAGTCTCACTTTTATTTTACCAGGCAAGCTACCGAGACTTATTTTCAGGATAAACAGAAGAGGTATAAATTTAAGAGGCGATCGAGAAAGTGACCACATTTTGTAAAGAACAGAACTGCAACGGATAGAATCTGCAATTTTTGGAAAGGTGATGCTGTAGCCTTTTCCGCCCAGCCTCCTTCCCCTTGATTTCACTGGTTTATGCACTTTGAGGAGAAAAGAAGGCACGACCAATGAATCGTCGCATGGGAAATGAAGAAATCAATCCCCCTGGGGAAACTTTTTTGTAGGAGATTGTAAGAATGTACGAGCCCAAACCAAAATGGCTTAAGAAAAGACGGTTTCCTACAGGCAATCGCATGAACGTTGATGGAGACGGACGCTACAGTGCTGTGAGGTTTACGATCGAAACTCTTTTGCTTTGAATTTTGTGTTTGCTGAGCTCGACTTGATCAATGATTGACAGGTTCCATCTGTGATGCCGGGGAGCGTTTTCCAGCAGCCACTTCTGCGGGGCCTCGACGACACCAACGGCAACGCCAACAGAAGGAAAAACAGTGTTGCTCCAGTGACCTTTTAAGCCCACCTGATTTACAATGTTCAAGGAGGTGCACGGTTTTTAGATCTTGCGGCCAAAGCTTTATTTTCCAGATTTTAATCTGAAGGAAGAGAACACAATTTATTTAAAATGGCTGACAACGAAGGATTCCCGTGAGCGTCTTTCTTTATCAGTATGGCAATAAATAGCAGCTGTTGCGAGTAATGAGCTGACGTTTATTGAAGCTTCTGAGTCAGTCATTTTTAACTCTTTCTATGCCATTAGCCATTTGAAGGAATGATGAATAAAGCTTTAGGGCTTCTGGGGTTTTCTGCAGATTCTAGATATTAACCCCGTCAGATGAGTAGTTTCCAAATATCTTCTCGCATTCTGTAGGTTGTCTTTTCGCTGTTGGTTTTTCCCTTTGCCATGCAGAAGCTTTTTAGTTTGATGTGATCCCATTTGTTTATTTTTGCTTTTGCTGCCTGTGCGTTTGGGGTCTTATTCGTAAAGTCTTTTCCCAATGTCCTGAGGTTTTCCCCTGTTTTCTTCTCGTGCTTTTTCATTTTGGGTCTTACATTTAGGTCTTTGATCCATTTTATTTTTATACAGGGTGAGAGCTGCATGTGGATGTCCAGTTTCCCCAGCACCATTTGCTGAAGAGGCTGTCTTTTCCCAGTTTTCTCGGCACCTTTGTCAAAATTGGTTGGCTGCAGACATGCGGACTCCTGGGTTCTTTGTTCTGTTTCATTGGTCGTGTGCCTGTTCTCACGCCAGCACCATGCTGCTCCGGTTACGACACGGTCTGACGGTGCCATGCCCCAGCTCTGTTCTCTTTGCTCAGGATTACTTTGGCTATTCAGGGTCTCTTGTGGTTTCACGCGAATTTTAGAATTTTATTTCTGTTTCTATGTGAAGAATGTCATCGGTATTTTGAGTGTACTGAATCTGTAGATTGCTCTGGGCAGTGTTGTCATTTCGAGAATGTTAACCGTGACCGTGATCACGGGTGTCTTCCCAGTGTGAGTCCTCTTCAATTCTCTCACCAGTGTTTTGTGGTGTCCTTAAAGAGGGTTTTCAACTCCTTGGTTAAATTCATTCCTAGGTACTTTATATTTTTGTAGCTTTTGTATATGGGGTTGCCTTTATTTCTTTTTCAGCTAGTTCATTGTTTGTGTACAGAAATGTTACTGATTTTTACATATTAATTTTACATCCTGCAAATTTACTGAAATTTTTTACAAGTTCTAAGAGTACTTTGGTAGTCCTTGGGTTTTTTTCTGCATGTAAGACCACGTTATCCACAAACAGGGACAAGCTGACTTCCTCCTTGCCAATCTGGATGCTCTTTCTTTCTTTCTTTCTCTTTCTTACTTGCTCTGGCGAGCACTCCAGAACATGCTGAAGAGGAGTGGTGAGAGTGGGCGTCCTTGTCTTGTTCCAGTTCTTAGAGGGCTTTTCCCCACTGAGTCAGATGTTAGCTGTGGGTCTGTCATATATGACTTTACTATGTTGAGATACTTTCCTTCTTCCTAATTCATTAAGAGTTTTTATCATGAAGAGATGTTGAATTTTATCAAAAGCTTTTTCTGCATCTATTGAGATGATGATATGGTTTTTGTCCCTCATCCTATTGGTGTGACGTATGGTGTTTGTTCATTTGTGTGTGCTGAACCGTCCTTGTATTCCTGGGAAAAATCCCACTTGATCATCGTGTATTGTCTTTGACGTAGTGTTGGATTTGGGTTGCCAGTATTTTGTTGAGGATCTTTGCATCTGTGTTCATCTGCATTGGCCTGTGGTTTTCTTTTTTTTGTTGTGTCCGCACCTGGTTTTTGGTATCAGAGCAGGGCCCAGGACATGATCATATGGCTTCTCAGCTGGCCTAGGTGCACGTCTGCTTGGGTGGCCCACAGGGCTGTTTTTCCAGCTCAGCAAACATGCACACAGCTGCTCCACTGGCTGGGGGTCCCATCTGCCAGAGGCGGCCCATGAGGCTGCTTCTCATGCCCAGGATGCTTGGCTATCCTGGGGGCTTTTCTGTGGGGCGGAGCCCACAGGGCTGTTTTCTCAGGCCCAGGACATGGGCACAGTGCTACTCGGTTGGCTGACGGTGTACTTGCCAGGAGCAGCCAGTGGGACTGTTTCTCAGGCCCTTACTGGGGGGCTCCAGGCCATTGGGCAGGTCAGGCATATGTCTGTAGCTGCTGTGGGGCTGCTGCTCAGGTCCTAAGTGTATCTGGGGCCTGTCAGCTGCTCAGAGGCTCAGGGGCCCCCCTGCTTGGGGAGGGCACACATGGTCTGGCCTGCTCACCCTGGGTTCGCCCTGGGCATGCTACTCCTCTGGCTGGAAGTACGGCAGTGGGGGCTGGTTTTCCTGCTGTGCAGGAGCGGGGCGTCAGCTGATCCCAGCCCGAGCTCCGTGCAGCTGGGGCTGTGGTGCTCAGCCACCCACATGTGCTTGGCATGATGACGACGGAGCCCCAGCGCCATGGAGGTGCGGTGGCTACTGGGCCCGGAGCAGGGTGTGCTCAGAGGTAGCTCTGGTCTCAAGAGGGCGCAGTGCTGCAGCAGCCGGCCCACGGTGGAGGGACAGGGGTGGGGAGGGCACACCTGGTGCCCCTCATCCTGGGCACAGAAGCCGCGTGAATTCCCAACAGCTCTCCACGCGGGGCGCAGGGCTCGTGGGGACTGCAGGTGTCTGTAGTGGCAGTGGGGTGGTGGGGATGCTCTGCTCGCCTTTGCCCTGCAACGGGAGTCCCTCCTGTCTTCAGGCAGACCCGGGCCAGGTGGGGGGGCGGAGCTGGGGAGGACGGGTGCCTCCGCGCTGCCCTCCTGGCCCCCAGTCACCACAGGCGCATCCGCGCCCCGCTGCGCTCCAGGGCTCTCTCTGGCCCTCTCCAGTCAAATCTTAGCTGCTTATTCATCACCGTGGTCCTCTCTTGTGGGGAGGACGACGGCTGGGCATCTCCGGCCAGCGGTCTCCAGCCAGCCGTCTTGCTGACGTTCCTCTCAGGAGCCGCCGTCCCCCAAGCTCCTCCGGCTGCCAAGCTGCCCTTCTCCAGACCTGTCCTCTGCGACACGGTCCGGCGCTCTGCTGACTCGGCGCTGCGCCTGCCAGACTCTGCGCACCCAGCAGCCCCTCCCCTCAGCCCTGACAACCAGCGATGACTCCGACACTGCCAGGCGTCCCCCGGGGCAGAGTGCTGCCCCGCTCAGAACCCTGTCCCCCACGTCACTGAGCACATTTCGCTACAGCCCTGGGGACTCATCCTGCCCAGGCTGTGGCCACTCTCCCGGTGGCTCTGGCCGACGCCAGCCCAAATGGCAGATGGCTCTTTATGAGGCCAACAGAAATGACCCTGTGGGTCAGGCCTCTCTCTAGCTGGCAGACGCCCCCTCTCTGGCGCTCTGGGCACTGTCGCCGTGTCGCCGGGCACTGCCTCACGGGCCAGTCTGCTCAGAGCTCCAGCAGAGCCCACGGGACAGAGGCTGAGGCCGGGCTGACCCCACGCAACACCTCCAGGCACTAACCCAGCCACGGACACCCTCAGAGGCCTCTCCGTGCCCAGAGAGTGGGACTAAGGGACATGCCCCTTGAGACCCAGACAAAGGGACATGTAGGTACAGTAGCAGCAACTCTGATTGGACAGGGAGGGGTACACCGTACAGCCAACATGCCTGGCCTGGGTGTCAGCGTCACACTCGGCTGTGGTGAGCAGCAGCCATTGCTCTGTCTCGGCAGTGGCCCTTCCTTCTAGACACCAGCCGTCCCCACCTGAGGCCAACACTGCAGCCTCTGCCCCCTCTGACCACCACGGTGGCATTTCCTTGATCCCTTCCACGCCAGCCCTGGGCCCACCCACCTCCGCGGCGCACGCGGCTCCCTGAAGCTCCCTGGCTCCCCCTGCCTAGGCTCAGACTCAGCCTCCGGAGAGGCCGGCTCCCCCCAGGGTCCAGGACCCAAGCGGTCACCTGAAGGACCATCCCACGGCTACGCACGAAGCTGAGGGGTGGGAGTCCCAGCTGGGGCGATGCTAGGAGAGACGGAGCAGAGCAAGGGAAGAGGAGACAGGGAGACAGGAACAGAGAGAAACAGAGTCTGCGGTGCAGAAGCTCAGCCCTTGGCACAAGAGCCAGCGAGGCGGGGACAAGGACAGACAGGGTCAAGTGGCCAGGTGTGTGGAGGTGAGCCGTGTGTGAGAAGATGGGAGGGGACGCAGACAGGGTGGGTCGACTGTGACATCACAACTCACAGACATTCATCTGTGGCTCAGACCTTCTTCAGGGCTCCACAGCACGTTCTAACACAGTGGTTCTCAAAGTGGGGTCCCCAGACCAGCAGCGCCGGCCCCCCGGCAGCCTGGTGGATGCACATTCCCAGGCCCTAGCCCAGCCCTGCTGGATCTGCGGGACTCTGATGCCCAGGTGAGTTTGAGAACCAGAGACAGCCCTGCTGTGCCTCAGCGTCCCACCTCCGCTGCAGTGGGACCGCACTCACACCTGGCCTCTCACGGCTTTGCCCCACTCTGCACTGTGAACCCCGCAGCTTTTCCTTCTGGATTTTTCTTGGCCCCAACCCTTTGCCCCTCACGGCGTCTGCCTGACGAAGAGCTTCCCACCTGCTGCTGGGCTTGCCCCGACCCCACGCACCCGCCGTCTGACACGAGGTCCTGAAACAGCCCAGCTGTCGTCCTCCACGGAAAACTTTTCGTCACATTTTTCCGCAAGGTTTATGTTTTCAGCAGGGCAAGGTTTTCTTTTTTAAGCCCAGTGCCGAAACTTAATCACTCCACTAAGTCAAAGTGGAAAAGAAAATGGCCGCCCTCAGCGTTCAAAGCCTCCATCTTCCCGTGAGGCTCCCAGGTCCTCCCTGAGCCGCTGACTGACCCACCCGACCCGCCTCCGGACACCCCACGTGCAGCCCACGCTTCCCCCAGCCTGGGCCCCGTGGCCTCCAGACGTCCGTGTTCCGGCCGCGTCCGGAGCGTTCACCGCGGGGGCGTAAGTCTGAGAACGCCCCTCTCGCGTTCACGGCCGACGTGCGCCCCCCGTGCTCCCGGGACAGCCGAGAGGCGGTCGCGGGCAAAATAGTGCCGAGCGCCAACCACCCTCGTGCCCGGCCCCACAGAAGGATACAGTTTCCAAACAGCGTCAGGACGATGAAGTAAAAGGAGGAGAACATGCCTTTGCTGACGCCCCCTTGCGATTCGATGCCGTGATACATCACTGCGTTCCAGTCCTCTCCCGTCAGGATCTGTGGGGAGAGAGCTCCGCAGCGCGCGCCGGGTTCCCGCCTTCCCGCGCGCACCGGGTTCCCGCCTTCCCGCGCGCACCCGGTTCCCGCCTTCCCGCGCGCACCCGGTTCCCGCCTTCCCGCGCGCACCCGGTTCCCGCCTTCCCGCGCGCACCCGCGCCCCCCGCGCGCACAGACACTCGGGCGTTAGACGGCGGTGCTTCCGGAGGTCTAGACGACCCAGGGTCCTCCAGAAAAACTTCTACAAGGACATGGCTGCCGCGCTGGGTCTTAAAGGGTGAATATGCTCTAGGTTTTCAGCCAGAAATGGAGCGAGATCTCCCGGCAGGAAAAGAAGGGAAAGGCAAGGTGGCGAGCGTGGAGAGGGGACGCAGAGCCGCCCTTGTCACTGTGCGCAGCTGAGGGGACTGAGGTTCAGCACACGGAGTGGCCTCCCCATGGCCACGAGACGGAAGCAGGGCCTGTGACCCTCCGGGCTCCTGCCTCCCTGGGCCTGGCGGGTCCACCCTCACAGCCTGGCTAAACGCAATCCTTGCCCCGTCAGCGAACGCGCGTCTCTCTTTTCTACTTTTATTTTTGGAAAAGTGCAAGAGAATGAAATCACCGGTGGAAATTGTTAACATCCTGCCCTATCTGCATTGGTCCTACTGCCCTACAGGCAACCCCAACCATGGATCTGGTGCAGATACAGTCTTTTTTTTTCCCCCCCACTTTCAGTATGGTTTTGCTTTTTATGGATAATATTTGTACACATTTATGGGGTACATGTGGTATTTTCGTACATGCTTACAATGTGTAATGATCAAATCGGG